ACTGGCGTACCAGGCGAGCCTGATGAAAAGCCCCCCTGGCCACGGCCGTCACATGATCGTCTAAAGACAGCCGAGCATCCAGGAGGACGCCCAGGTTGCGAGCCCTCTCCGCGGGGGCTAATGACTCGCCCCCGATAGCCAGAGATGGAACCAACTGGCTATGACGTGACGCCGGAAACCACAGCCACTCGGTCTTGGATGGGTTGAGACGAAGCCTGTTCCTCCCCATCCAGACTCGCACGGCCTCCAGGCACCGGGACATCACTTCCGTGGCATCGTTGGGGTGGTCCGGGGTGGAGATGTACATTGGGAAGATTTTAAAATATTGATGTGACGCTGTATTTAATTTAATATTAATCTAACTGATAAATGTTCATCCAAAATAGGAGAAGGTTGATTTTTCCTTTTGAGTGCCAGGTTTCTTTTAGCAGAACCCTGGAGTCAACCTTTGACCAACCAGTAACAAATAAAAGGGAAAGTTCTCCTAAATTAATACAGGTAGTCTTTGACTTATGACCAGTTGCTTAGCAACCAGTTGAAGTTATGACAGACCCCGCAAAAGGCACTTATGACCCAGTTCCAAAGTCTCTGTTTATTCTCTGGAAACAACTCTTCCTCGCTCCTAAGGTCTTACCTGAGGAGGGAAAACATACTCTGCCACATCCCATAAGTACGGACCCATGCCGCTAATGTTGGTTAGTGCGATGCCTTTGAGCTTCACTGAGACGGAGTTTATGATGCTATCCTTAGACTGGTAGCCTTTCTCATAGAGGAATACCCACCTAAGGAAGACATTTTTTTTTACAAAAAAAAAAAGTTAAGTAACAGGCTTAGAAAGTAAAAGCAAGAAGGAAAACTAATCTGGCAAAGAAATAAATAGCATTTACAACAACAAATATTTTTGATTGAAGTGATACCAATGTGAATATTTTACGTTTTTTACTGCTTATAATCTAAGTCATAATCATTGTAGACTTGACACCTGTAAGTCTAGATCAGGGGTAGTCAACCTTGGCTCTTTTATGACTCGTGGACTTCAACTCCCAGAATTCCTGAGCCAGCATAGCTGGCTCAGGAATTCTGGGAGTTGAAGTCCACGAGTCATAAAAGAGCCAAGGTTGACTACCCCTGGTCTAGATTCTCCAGATTTTGACCTCTATTAATGTGTTCTGCAGATTCCTTATTCAGAATTTGGCTTTCTAAGTGGAGGCTCACAGATTTAGCTAAACTGATTATCTTATTGCAGAACAAAATTAAGTCAACCACAACAGCAGTACTTAGCAATCAAAACTTATATATAAATCTAAGCTCCAGTGTTTAAATCTTAGGCTTTTTCCTCCCACTTTTTCAAATCAAAGGATATTTGGCCATCCTCACCGCAGTTGGATGAGTTGATATAATCATTGTCTTGAGTCTGGAAACCCCTGGTTCTTTTCTTTATTTCTAACATCTCCAGTTTTTCTATTTTCTCCCCCCACTCCGTTCTTATTTTGTGGTAGAAAGTAGCTGAAGAATATGGTTACCCACTTTCTGTTTCCACTTCTTTATCATCTGGAGCCAAAAAAACCTCTTCTTTATGATACCTTACCCTTTCCTCTTCCTGCCTGAGAGCAACAGAAAGTGACATGAGTTACCACTTTAGCTCAAGCTGTTGAGATTTCCTTACAGGAAATCCTCTCAACACCAGACAACAGAAAGAGATGCCAGACATTTCAATTTCTTTTCTTTCTTTCTAAGGAACTCTCCTTACTTCAGAACTCTTCTTTTTATTTTTGTATGGTGCAGACTGTGGTTTTCTCTTGTCAGTCATCCAATGTTTCCCATCTTCTTCCCAATCAAGTCTCATTCTCCCCTCCCTTGGTCAGAGTCATTTGTCAGCAGGTACGCAAACTTGAATGTGTAATCAGCCAGGAGGCTAAAACTTGTGAAGGTAGAGGTAGTCCTCAGCTTAGGATCACAATTGAGCCCAAAATTTCCATTGCTAAACAAGAGTTAAGTGAGTTTTACCCATTTTATGACCTTTCTTGCCACCATTGTTAAGTGAATCACTGTGGTTAACTGTTAAGTGAATCTGGATTCCCCATTGATTTTGCTTGTCACAAAAGGGGATCACATGATCCCAGGACCCTGCAACCATCCCAAATACATGCCAGTTGCCAACCATCTGAATTTTGATTCTGCAAGGGTTGTAAATGTGAGAAATAGACATTTTTTCAGTGTTGTTGTAACTTCGAACGGTCATTAAACAAATGGTTGTAAGTTGAGGACTACCTGTAAACAGGTTTGAATTGAGGAATTTGAACATTTTTAAATTTTTCTTTAAAGAAATCTATTAATTTTCAAGTTTTCCTCATTTTAGAAATAAAACTGATACTGAGTGGTTGATTATATAGTTAAACAATTAATTATGTAACAATTAATCTTGATTATATAGTTAAACAATTAGGGTCAGAAACACTTGCCAACTCAGTAGATCGCAATCTATATCTTCTTATAAAATAATGCAAACTAAAGGAATACCTCTTATTTAGCGAATATGGAAAGATCAAGACGTAATCCTTAGGAACAGTTTTTTCAGAACAAATTCCATTATATTCAGAAGTGGCTACTTCCTGATGAGTGCACATAAAACTGAGCTTAGATAACAAGTCAGTCACTACTCAGCTGGCCAAATATTTGTTTTACAACAATATTTATTTGTGGACATACTTGCTAATCTTGCTGAACCATGATCTATGAATGTGGATGTCCTTAGCCATTACATCACCAAATCATTTTCTCATCTGTGTCTTTCATCTGCAAAGTAATAATACCTTATAGGGGTATTGTATGGGTTACTGAGCATATCCGTAAATGTTTGTAGAATGGCACATTATGATTTATAATGATAAATATTTCTAGAAACTATTCTGTAGAACTTTTACCATAAAGCAGCATTCTTCGACCTATGTTATATTTATTACAGGCAGTCCTCAACTTACAACCACAACTGAGCCCAAAGGTTTCTGTTTTTAAGCGAAACATTTGTTAAGTGAGTTTTGGCACATTTTACAACCTTTATTTCCACAGTTGTTAAGTGAATCACTGCAGTTAAGTTAGCGACACAGTTGTAAAGTGAATCTGCCTTCCCCATTGACTTTGATTGTCAGAAGGTTGCAAAAGGTGACCACGTGACCCTGGGACACTGCGACCGTCATAAATCTGAGTCACTTGCCAAGCGTCTGAATTTTGATCATGTGCCCAGTCATAAGTGCCCAGTCGTAAGTGTGAAAAATGGTCATAAGTTACTTTTTTCAGTGCTATTGTAACTTTGAACAGTCAATAAACAAACTGTTGTAAATTGAGGACTACCTGTATTAGATTACAACTCCTATTATTATCAGACAAGGTATTCCAAGCCTCAGGCTGGAAAAGGCTGACTTCTCTAACTGATTATCAGCTATTCTCAAAAATTAAATCTGGAATGGCAGAAGTGTATTGCTTCAAATCGCAAATCAGGGTCTTGCATTAAATACATATGGTTGTGCTCAACACAAAATATGTTCCAGCTGTTCCTTTTCTTAAAAATAGTAGCAGCAGTTTTTTTTTGTTGGTTATATTGGTGCCACCATTTTCCTCCTATTTTTATATCTTCATGTAGTGTTTCAATTTTTAATTCTTCAAGCTATAGCTCATCCCTCCCCTAGAGAACTTAAGATCATTCACCCAGTGCAAATAGCTGGAGAATCGTACTTACTATTTATGGTGGTTTACTGTATGACTCTTCCAAAAAAGGCAATAGTTATAATTCCAAGAAATTACTAGTTGCTAATTTGTATGGATAGTGTTTACTATTCAGATGTTCATAGGCAACTTCAAAGTAGCCCTGCATGCCTTTCTTAGGATGCTTAATTCTTAAACTAGATTCAGTGCTCACCTGCGGGCCCATTAACCATGGCATGAAGATGCCCCACTGAAGAGGAATGCAGAGATGATCTTGACAATCACTATTGGTGATGGTATTATAGAGAGCATTGGAGATGACTTTAGAGAATATATATATAAATGGTAGCAAAAACCGAGCATGCTTTGAGCCCAGAAAACAGTGAAGCATTAGAAAAAAGCTCAGACGGGCTCTGTCCTTATTCACTGGGGTATAGGAGAGATGGAAGGAAAAACACAGGTTTTCAAAATGCTGTTACTCTAACCTATCTTTAAATGTCTATGGAGATTCTCAGTCATCCAGGTCATGGTTGTTCCAAAGGTGCTTTTTCAGAAGGCAACTGGACTTTCTTTTTTCTCTTTGAAGACATTTCACTTCTCATTCAAGAAGCTTCTTCAGCTCTGACTGGATGATGGGGAATGGAAGGATTTATATTCCTTGCAGACAGCTGGTCATTTGCTGTCATTGATGCCACATGGAGGCTTATCTGTGTCATCAGATAAATGGCCTTTATCTTTTTTCTTTTTGGTCACTCAAAGAAAACAAAGTCCACATTTTGGACAGAGAGGACCTCTGGTTTGAAAGAGGGGTCAAAGAGGTCATCTGTGTCAAAATTGAACAGCCCTCTCTCAACAGAGGAGGAGAGATACGACATCATCTATCTCCAGTCTACAACACAGTCTTTTCAGTAGTTCCAAGAAAGGTTCCACATCCATTCGCACTACTCAGGTGACCCTGATGACACAGATAAGCCTCCAGTTGGCCTCAATGACTCTCTAAAAGAATGCAAATGACCAGGTGCCTGCAAGGAATATAAATCCTTCCATTCCCCACCATCCAGTCAGAGCTGAGGAAGCTTCTTGGATGAGAAGCAAAATGTCTTCAAAGAGAAAAAAGAAAGTCCAGTTGCCTTGTGTAAAAGCACCTTTGGGTATAGCCTATCTTAATAAAATATAGTTCCAGTCACCCTTGCAGAATCAACAGGATAAGATATGAGAAAGAAACTCAAAACAGCCGACTGCCAGCTGTTCAATTCTCATCAGCTCAAGGTTGACTCAGCCTTCCATCTTTCCACGATCAGTAAAATGAGGACCTAGATTTTGGGGGGCAATATGCTGACTCTATAAACCGCTTAGAGAGGGCTGTAAAGCACTGTGAAGTGGTATATAAGTCTAAGTGCTATTGCTATTGCAGAAGCAGCCTGAATTCCTTCTTATCTATCCCAGCTTTGAAGTAATGTTTTCCATCTTCTCCCAACACAAATCTTGGCATACAAATGATCTAGCTCTCCATTCACAATGATGAGGGCTGGTATCTACTGTGCTCCTTTTTGTGGCAGCCATACCTCTCTCTTCTGGGTCACCAGTCATTGACCTTTGGGGTCATTTTGGCTTGGGTTGCAGGAGAAACTGGACACTTGGTTTCTGCTTTAGTCTCTGCCTGAGTAATTCCTGGTCTGTTCTCTGCAAAATGCCATCCAGCCCCTTGTTACATTGGTATGCCTATCTTTGAGAAGATCTTTTATTAAACACACATCCAATAGTATTTCAAAAGGCCACTGTGCCTAATCTGTAAAAAACAAGGACTGATGGTTGATTTGAACAGGAAGAAAAATAGGTTGCTGGTTCTGTCCTAAATGGATGCATTAAAGGTTTTCCATTATTTCTGTTCATGAGGGGTTTTACAGGGCTGCTGAACTTTCTACTGCTTTTATTAGGGTTTTTTGGGAGGGGGGGGAAGGAAGAGATTTTATTTACTGTAAGGTCATTCTGCATGCTCCAAATACCAACTGTGGTCACTTCTTCCTGGCACTATCCTTACATTTTTCCATTTGGGGTATTTAAAAGCTGAAATTGACAA